ATAACTACTTTTGTAATTATGATATAGTGTCTGTGATCGTTCTAATAAGAGTGGTCGTTAATAGCTATCAATTATCTGCGGTCAAGGTTTATTTATATTTAGTTGTATATCTCTAATCATTGTTCACGCCAGTAATTATCTTATGAATTGGTCTATTAAGGTCAAAGCATTGAGGTTTTATTAGTTAATTGGCTTTGGTCCGCTGTGTCGGTATTTACTTCGATCATACGCTTGATGTGTATTTTATTATGTTTGAAACATGTTATATAAATATACATTACAACAAAGATGTCATGCCAAAATTATTTGTCTATCGATTATAATCATTTGTAATTGACAAGTTCAAACAATTTTGCTTTTCTACATTTACATAATTTGAAATTTCAGTTACTTTATGTTTAAGTATGAGGATCTTCGTCAGTATTTTGAAGATTTTTTTGATACATCTGTTAGATTGTTATTCCTCAGGTAATATATGAATAAAGTTGACACTTGTGAATAAATATAACATTATCGATATTTTACGATTTAAACATCTTTTAAAACTTGTTGCCATAATTAACCTCTTAAAAAAATACTTTTCAAATATTGGACAATGACCACATTTTAATACTGACATAAGATAATTCAGTTGCTGGTGATAACAAAATTATTTATTTTTTTGTTCCTTGATTTGTGTTACCTGGATGGATGTATGAAATTTCAATATCAATCTAATCTTATCTACTTGTGGCCTCTTATTTGTACTTTTAACTGTTTATTCCTGGTTTTTCGCAGTTTTCTAAAGCGATAAACATATTAATAATCTGTAAACATTACCAGTAAAATAAAGAATTCACAAGCCAATTGTCAACAGAACACAAGCATACCATCTATCAACATTTAAAAGTTAGCATATAGTCAACTATCGTTATAATTTCAACAGCCAAATAAGTTTCTCTCATCTTTGTATAAGTCACATTACACAATTTATCCAGAAATAATTTCTTATTTGTTACGTTTTCAGTATCTCTTATCAAGCATAGCATAAACGGCAAGATAATCGGGTTATCATTAGTGTTAAATTACAAAAAAAAAAAATTGCTTTGGTTACCAATTTAAAAAAAAAAGTATACATTTATTAAATATACATGTCTGTGTTTTAAGAATATTCATTATTTCAAATAAAATTTCAAAAGCAATTATAAGAGACATCTTATTTTAAATCAACAATGTTAAAATTGTATTAATCTATCATTTTGTAAATATTTACTAGACTAAGTATAGTTTCATGTTTTAACATATTAAAAAAAATATATTGTTATCTATTTTACGAAATTATTTGTAACAGATCTGTCTTTTATTATGCAGATGATTTTCCTTATAAAAGACACAACACAAAGATTTTTGTAGAAAAGGGTGAAAATGTTGTACTCAATTGCACATGCCGTCTACACAATGAAAGTGCATGGTCAGGTCCAAAGATATCTTCAATTACAAAAATGGATACAAATGAGGAAGAACCTTATACGGCTGGGCTTCTGCTCAATCCGAAACTTCATGACTTAAACATTGATATTATTGGAAATAACGAAAGCGATAAATGCAGTTTGGTTGTTAGAAATATCTCTGAAGTTGGTGAGGGGAATTACACTTGCGAGTATTGGAATTCTGGAATAGTTTATATACATATATTCACCGTTCATTTAGAGAGTAAGTGTCATGATGTATATTAAATATGTTAAAGTTAATATCGAATACAACCCCTAATATTTGATTCATAGAACACTGGTCGAACACAGCCCAATTGTCTAATTACTACAACCCCCTCGTGAAGGTGCACTCGACTCCAATCTTAATTGACTAGGATTGTCATTTTTCCTACCGAAGGTCGGTGGTTTTCTCCGGGGACTCCGGCTTCCTCCACCAATAAAAACTGACCGCCACGAAATAGCACTTTATTTGTGAAAGTGGCGTTAAACTCCCATCAATCAATCAATCAATCAATCTAATTACTACATAGTATTTTTAATTTTATTGAATTGACAAATTGGCAATTTGACATTGCGATGACTAATGAAATATAAGAAATTTTACATTTTTTAAACGACATTTCTCTACTAGTATATACAATTGTCCAAGTGCTAATATATGAAAAAATTGGAAAAAGTCATATATAAAATAATTCTGGATGATAGTGTGATACAAATGAATCTGCATTGAAATGGATATATAAAACAGCTATATGTAACTAAAGTTTTATCGTATGGTATAAAAACTTGTTTCTTTTATTTTGTAAAAATAAGTTTCTTGTTTATTTATACATATTATGTATATAATCTTATGTTTTGTCGTGTGTCATATATAAAGAGTTGAAATGATCATTTGTAGGTCCACCAAACAACTTGACTTTTTTGAATACGTTGAAACCGAGACAACAAAAACATGTTCGTGGAATCGAAGGGCATAAACTAGATATCGTATGCACTCTAAACAGCGGTAAACCGCAAGAAGTTCTCTTTTTAAAAGAAAACGGTTCAACCGTTAAGAGTGGTGCAAGTGGTAAAATAGCATATTCGTTTGTTCCAAGCAACAAGGACAATATGAAATCATTTGAATGCTCTGCTGTCAGTGCCACGTTAGAAAGGCCATTGACTGATGAAGTTATTTTGGATATTCAATGTAAGTATAGAACAATCTTGAGTTAATTTTATGAATGAATTACGCCAGTTGACCAGGGTTCAATCGCAGTAAATGATGTCATTGAGAATTCAAGTTGTCTTACTGTGATGTTATAACATAAGCATTGTCACATTAGAAATGTACGGAACAATTCACAAATGTTAAAGTCGTCTATTGTGCTACAAAAATTGCTGTGCTTTCCAATTTGGTTTATCTATTCTATGTAGAAAAACGTAATTAAAAATAGTAGAAGATTATTGTGTTTTTTTCTATTGTCAATTCTGCGTAGTTACGACTTAATAAAAAAGTCATTAGCAAATCCCAGCTCTAGCCCCCAATGAAAACAATAGCCCCCAATGGAAACTATAGCCCCAAATGGAAACTTAAAAAAAAAACACAAACAGACCTCCAAATATACAGGAAGATAGATGTATCTTAACAAAAGTAAAGTCATAACAAATATGTGATAGTACAATATGTTGAACTGGTGGATTAAAGGAACAAATCGTATTAATTATCAGAAAATTTGTGTGAAATAACACATCTTACTAAATATCTGAAATAGAGGATTAAAGAGAAACCATACAGTTTTAAATAAGTATCTGCAATAAATAAATTTGTTCCAGCTGCATCCTTTGTGTAAAAGTTTTTATAACTGATTATTTCGCATTTAAGTTTATTTTAAAAAAAAGTCTGTCTATTGACTTGAATTTTGAATAAAACAATGGAATCACCTAACGGAAGTAGTGAAACTGATAATCACCACGCAAATTGTCAGATGCAATCTAAAAAAAAAGGTTAAATATGATATTCACTCCACTTACGATATGTAACAATTAACATTCAGTGCGTTTATCTTAATGCCCCTTAACATGTATACGTATGGTTAAATGTTTGATGAACAATTGGTTTTGGCATAAAGACATGATAAATGTTATTAAATATATTTATTAATGCAAAAATGAATAAAGAATTAACTGCCTTTTGATTAGGGGAATGTTTCGTTTAGTGTACTCCATAGGGTCTCATTTAATATCGGGGTTTACAAAGTCAATACATTCACAGATTTACCTTATTTAAATACAGTATACATATATGTAATTGTAATAAGTAGAATTTTCGGGAAATTGGTACATTTTCCCGAAAATCTGAACTTTATAAAATAATGTGGTCGGTTTCACTGTACCGGTTTTGATAAATCAAATACAGCGCAAGGATCTACCTACCATTTCATTTTAAAAATCGCACTTTGTTTTTTCTTGCAAATACGCAAGATAGTTTTTGTGAATGAAATATTTGCCATTGTTAATTAAACGACTTAAATCGCCACTACAAAAGATGTATGGGCACAATAGAGAATTGGTGAACAAACAAAGAAAACCCCAATATAGCAATTTCACACAGTTTCATGCATATGATTTTTGGCACTAAAACACAATCATGTAACATGTATAATGAAGTGTTGTGTTTTGTAGACAAACCATCGCTGACTATCGATCATCCTGCACTTGTAAAACTGATTGAAAATACTTCGTCACAAGTGTGTTGTCAAGGAAACAGTAATCCACCAATGGATCAGATAAATTGGAAAGGGAATGTAAACTCTTTAGTTGTCAATAATACCATATCATGTTTGACATTCAGCCCAAGCCATCGTACTCACACACAACGATATACCTGTGTTGCTTCAAATAGAGTAGGAATATCAGAATTACATATAGATTTCAAGGTTCTGTGTAAGTTTTATTCAACTGCATAAACTAATTTTGAGCGATTTGAAAAAATCTACAGCAACTTCTAGATAAATGTGCTTCATTCGAATCGACTATTATATAATCTTATCGTAAATCAAACTGATTTGTCGGACCTTCTGTCCGACTGGCGCAAAAATATTGCTAAGTACTAAAATTTCAAAAATGGTTTAACACAAATGCGAGGGTAAATTACTGCGATTACAGGGAGAAGTGTGTAGAAAACGAAGTAATCCTATCAACATGGTACGCAAGTTTCTTAAAAATTTTAAATATATAATGTTGCAATTTTCACAGAATTATAATCATTTCTGAATTTACAGTATTCGTTCATGACATTTTTAACATTAACACTTATCAATTTAACTTGAAAACATAATTGTGTTTGAATAATATTAAATTTTTAATATTGTATAGACCCTCCAGTGGTCAGTGTGTCGTACACAATTACTGGACAAACTATCAATCTACACTGTCATCCAGAGGGTGAACCTAACAATTACACCTTTGCAAAATGGTACTTTCGATCAGAATTCAATGAAACAATTCAAAAACTTGAAGGAGATCAAAACGGAAAACTCACAATAATTGCACAAAGCAATAACACACTTCTTGAACATGTTGGCATTTACGTATGTAGAGTATCCAATGGTATAAAAGCTACAAATGAAAATTTGTATCAGGAAGGAGCAGTATCCGTTCAATATGAAGGTATATTATTGCAAAAGTAAAGCAAAATGATATTAAAAATAGTACTCAGTTTTGTTTTTATTCATTAGTTTATTTATATTTCTCTTGAATTTGTTCAGTATATTCTATAAATTTCAGGGAAAGATTTGTATAGATAGGTTCCATGAATTGATTGATGAATATATTTTTTTTATATGCGATAGCGTATAAAGCCCATCCTTTTCAATTATTTTTTTTTTTCAAATTATCGCCTTTTATCTTGGAACTTCCAACTTTAATCTTGGAATTTCCAACTTTAATCTTGGAATTATCAATTTGGTCTTGGAATTATCAATTTTATTCTTGGAATTTCCAACTTTAATCTTGGAATTTCCTACTTTATTCTTGGAATTATTAACTTTCATCTTGGAATTATGAACTTTAAATTTGGAAATTTCAACTTTAATCTTGGATTTATCAACATTTAACTTGGAATTACCAACTTTATTCTTGGAAATTCCAACTTTAATCCTGGAATTATCAACTTTAAACTTGGAAATTTCAACTTTAATCTTGGAACTATCAACATTTATCTTGGAATTACCAGCTCTATGTGATGCATATATATACATAAATACAAACAAAACACCTTGTTAATAATGCATTAGAGGACGCTCACTTGATATTCGGGGAGGGGGCGGGGGTGAAAATGAATCATCAGATCAGACAATAACTGAAAATATAAAACTGAATTCATGGCAGGATGAAAAATAACAATCAGCCGTGTTATGCAAAGCCGTATTTTGTTATTAGAATTGATTGAAAATAAATGAATGCTATGCGTAATCGCATAAATTAATTAAACTGGCTTAGCAGAGACTGAAAATAAATGATTCATCCAAAAATGGCCTCCCCCCCTTCCCCATATAAAATCAAAATGCTCACCTCCGTAATGACACATATAGCATACATTTTGAGCATAAGCAATAGGACAAGCATGATGATATACACAGACTTAATCAAACATGCATGAATATATAAGAACTAAGCTAAACGTTCAAAGCAGCATTACTGTTATCACGACTTAGCTAACTCGTGACCTAGTTTACTGGTTTATTTTTTTTTTTGCTCACTGGACTCTCACCTCTGCCAAACAGTGCACTTCTGTTTGATGTGCTTTACTGTACCCATTTTTATATAACATTCACTAATATATGTTATCTATAAATATATACAAAGAATGACCTTTACTTATAAAATACAATATTTTATTTATGACCCGTGCTTATATAGGCACTAAACGTTTATCATCACTTATGATTTTCGCAATTCATTTGGAAACAAATTTGAAAGGTGAATTTTAAAATGCATAGATTCAAGGACTTTACATTAAAGTTGGAATTTGCAAGTTTAATGTTGATAATTTCAAGATTAAATTTGGTAATTCCAAGATTAAGGTTGGAAATTCCAAGATTAAAGTCGACAATTTAAAAAAAAAATAATAAAAAAGAATGGCCCTAATACGCTTCCGTAGTTTTCCACCATCAAATTGGATTTTTAAGGAGGAATAATGATTACGATAATTGTTCAGTCAAGATACCTAGAGTTGTCAATGTAGGCATGCCTAAAATAATGAGTATTTACATGTTTAATAATATGATATGAAAAAAAAAAACAATGTTTAGAATTTAAAAAACTTTGTTCTTATTTTATTAGCACCACCCATCTTCATTTCAACAAACAAAAGAGTACAGCTTGGGCAATATGGATATGAACTTAATATCACTGTTATTTTGTACAGTAAACTTGATATTATACAACTGAAGATATCAAATCATAACAGGGTTCTACGTCCAAGGATTACAAAGGGAAGGGCTCATACTCCTGATATATTCCATGATTTCAAACTAAAATTACCTGAAATAACAGTTGTGTTTCATCTTGGCTTAGCGACAGAGGAGGACTTTGTAAATTATACTCTAGAGGCTTGTAACATTAAAGGGTGTAATTCATATACTGTTTACCTCAGATCGGGGAGTACGTATTTATTTTGTTTATCTTTTTACTATGCATGTGTTCATCTTACTACAAGTTATATGTTGATGCGATATAATATATACACTAATCTATAATTATTAAGATGGCAAATGATATCACTAAAAACTGTGTTATAATTGCACTGAAAAGGTTTTCAAACTGTTGAAGGCAAAATGAAATTAAAAATACCAACACGTAACAGTCTTTTGATTAATCATTTTTAGATATACTTTAGATCCTTTTGGGTTTGATCAGCTCTTCCACAATTGTGGTATGTTTATTATCTTCAAATATTTTGCCTTGAGAAATCAATTGTTAAAAGGCACATATGGTGCAGCACAATTGGTAACGTTTGTATTTTAAACGATTAACAAAACTGCCGTAGGATTACCTCTCAACCAAAACCAGATATTAACTAATGTCATGATTGTTACAGTACAGTTCATTTAAGGCTTAGCTACATGTAACTTAATACATATTCTTTTAGTAATATAATTTGGTTTATTTTATCACGTTAACTTCTTGGAATCCTTTACTGCGATTAAGTCTCGCATGTTTTGTTTGTTATTCAGCTTTTTGATTTGTTTGATTTGTATAACACATTGTACATGTTGTAGATGTGTTTGGCTATAAATCACTTTTACTTTTAGATCGACCAGAACCTCCAAACAATATAACAGTGGTTCAATACGAAAACCACATGATAGTGTCATGGATTCCAGGTTTTAATGGTGGATCCAATCAAGATTTCTTTATACAGCATCGAAATACTGACACAGAATCGTGGACAACCACAGGTCCCGTAAAATATAGCTTCGAAAATGAAATTAAGTACACTATATATGAACTGGTATCAAATAAACAATATTTTGTGTGCATGTTTTCTAGAAATGTAATTGGAGATAGTGAAAAAACAAGTGTTACAGAAGCTAGAATTTTTGGTAAGTACATAATTGGGAAGATACTGGTTGGCTGTGTGATCGACGTTTAGGATCCTATGTAAATACGTATCTGACTAAAGTGCACATAATTGCTCAAAATATCAGATAATAAGTTTATTAAAGCGCGAGCATATGTACTCAATATCACAACAACCCCTACCATGATAGTTAAAAAAAAACTGAATTGGTAAAAGATTGTGAGATCATATAATATGACTTATCACCGAATTCGTAATGACCATGACCAAACTGACGGATGTGGAGCAAGGTCTGAATAATCTGCAGGAACATATAATATCACCCTCAATTATTTGATGGGGTTCATGTTGCCCAATCTTTATTCGTTTTTTATGAACTGTTTTGTGGACTTGTTTGTCTGTCGTCTTTTTTTCAATTGACGTTGTCAATTTCTCTTCGATTTATGATTTTTTATGGTACCCTTGATATCTCCCGGCTCTTTCTGAATAGTGTAAAGCAATAAAGACTTTTTTCAGTATCTGATAATTACGATAGATGTGAATGACTAAGTTTAAAACCGATAGTGACATATTTCATTTCAGAAATTCTGTTTTTGTGGTTGATATTTCATACCAAGTTGATAATCCAGCGAATAATATGGGCTGTGACTAATATTAAGGTTTTCATTAAACATTACAGCTATGTAATAGAGCCAATTGACAAATGCGTCCTCTGGAGACACATATCGTTTCTCGTTGAAATAAAAAAAGAGTAATGTTTGATAGAAATAAACATTTTAAATTTAATCCTTTAAGCATATTATTAATTTAAATAATTCTACTTTGTATCATACTGTGGTTCTTATTATATTAGATTAATAACTTTTAATCAGGGAAAACATGTTCATAAAAAAAACCTTTGGTATAACATGTGCTAATTAGACTTCAGACAATGATTATTCTGGCTTGTTGAGGGCTAAATATAAATAACCTTATAAAAGACTGGATTTGAAAGAATAATTCGTGGACAAGAAATAAGCATGCTCAGCAACAAATTAAAATGAATTGTCAAGCCTAAACCGCCCCCTTTTTTTTTGCTCTCTCAGAATATCGAATGGTTGTCTCCTAATAAATGCAAATGAACATTAATATATTGTGATAAAATATGTAAAAACATCAACCTTGCCAGAAACTCAAGTTTAGTCATATCGTTTAATAATCCCGTCTTACAAGTTAAGTTGAATTAGTAGTTTCAAAAGCAACAATAAACTTATTTAACTGTTCAGTATACTGACAAATCAGACGTAAGTTAATTAAAAGTATTACTGTATTTACAGAATACGAACAAATAACGCTTCCTGTATACAATTATTGCTCGGTGATTATTGGAAATATTGTTGGAGGAATGCTAATATGCAGTATTGTCTCACATATTTATTGCCGTTTGAGGCGAAAAAGAAGATCTAATGCGACGGTGGAAATCACTCCAGAAGGTCAATATGATGAAATAGGAACAATTAATTATAACAATATGATTGTTGATCCAATAACTAACTTTGAACTAGATAATAATGACCATATACCAACAGACACCGTGCGCAACGATGTTATATCGAGTGGTGGTGGAGATAGTTCAAGTGCAAGCTCTTTCATAGGACAAACTGGTGACGGTTATGAAAATCCCTATCAGGCGATAATTCCTTCAATTATCGAAATGCACCAATACAGTAGCATCATCCCAAATATGTATCAAAACACAATTATATCACCGGCAAGCGCGGCAACAACATCTGCAGAGTACATTAATACAGCAATTGATAATTACACAAAGCCCTAGCTTGTTATATACAAGAGGATGCAATAAATCTGAACTACGAAAGTAACTGCATAATAGATTTGTGTTTTCTGTACTGAGCTTTATAAAGACAAATGTATGGTTAATATAAATGTTTAACAAATGTGCAATAAATTAATAGAATAATTTAATAAGTATAAAGTTGTATAATCATGTATTCATAAAATATGTACGACGAAAAAGATTTTGGGTATCATTTTTCAATTAGAGCAATGGGAAGAACAAATGCCCAAATGTCAAATAAATTAAAAGATACTATTTTAAAATTCTTGCATGGGGGAAATACAATAACAACATATAACTTGTTGTTCAGTGAGCAATTCTTTACACGTTTAAATTCACATTTGAAGGTAAACGCTGTAACTTTCGATTTCAGAAGATGACTTAAAATCGATCTAATGCCAAACATATAAATTGTATGACAAAAGGGAAATAATAAGCAACTGTTGGTTTACACCAAGATGCATAATTGCTTTATAGGGTTTCAGTTAAAAATAAATCAACTAGGTACTTCCAGTTTATAAATGTCATATTCGGTCCGTTGTATATTAGTTTCATGCCATTTTGACCTAAATATCATCTGCCAAGTCACAACAAGAAATTATTAGGTCATGTACAGTCTATCAAACAATTTTGAAAGTTATCTACTGCAGTAAATTCAGTAGATTTACAGACAATTCAGTATGTTGTTGATCTTTACAAGTAAATATCATCTACTAAACAGTATGCACAAAAACTAAACGGATCTAAATTGACTTCAAAAAACTTTCTAAACAAATCAAAATCAAATCAGTTAATAACTCATATAAGGTTTCAATTAAAAACAATATGATCAGAGAATAGTTTAAGGTCCAATCTGGCATTTACAATTGATGATAAGTTATTAGTAACTAGTTTCAAATTTAAATGAATGAATGAATCTTTATTGCAAATTAAAGCATAGACATGCTATGGCAAAATTAACAACATATATTACATAATATAAAGCATGGGTAGACATCAGAGAACAATAGTATAATACTATGACATGTAAAATTATGAGACTAAATGAGATCGAATATTTCAACTTCCAGTTTGAAAATACTAAAAGAGTTTTAAAAGATAGCAAAACATATACCGCTTTAAAAGCAAACAAAAAAATGTTGTTTTTATCTTTATAAATGAAGCAGCTAATTAGCTATTTACGGTTAGCATATTACTGATATGTTCATTTTCTGTAAATTTTCGTTGATGCAAAGTTGAATTATTCAAAACATCAATGTTTTCCTACACCAGACACAACTTATTACATGTATTTGATTTGAAATTCCAACTGTAGTGATTCAAGCACCACTGATTTTGTAGACGACACGACTGTCTGGCGTACCAAATTATAAGCTTGGTATTGTTGATGAGTTTTACATAATGTCAATTCCGGTTTGATATGATAGCTAACTATACACTGAATGTAAAATAATGATTTCTATATAGTTTGTTATGGCATGGTATTGGTTGCAAAAATTTGATATTTTTCATTTAAATGCAATATTTCTTTTTAATTGGTATATTTCTTCATTTAAATGCAACATTTTTTTATTTGAATGGTATTTTTTTTTCATTTAAATGCAATATTTTTTATTCAAATGGTAACACTTTTCATTCAAATGGTATAATTTTTCATTCAATTGGTATAATTTTTCATTCAAATGGTAAAATTTCATTCAAATGCAATAGTTTTTATTCAATTGGTATAAAATGTCATTTGAATGCAATATTTTTTGTTCAATTGGTATAGTAGTTTTTTATTTATATGCAATAATTGCATTGTGGGGAATTCTTTGACGTCATAAGGTCAAATTTGTAACAGCGTTTGTGATTGGTCTGAAATTGTTTGGATTTCTCCCCTTTCTTTCTAAACATGGGTGACCAAGAATTAAAAAACGCGTCAGAATATCGCCCCTCTAACTAAATCTAACGTTCGTGCGAGTCTTGCACTGGCTGTTAAAATCTTGTGGTCATAACTAGTATTTTTATTGCAAAATGTCGATGGTCAAAACGTTCGGTCCACTTTTCAAAAACCGTTTCATTGTATATGGATTTATATGCAAGTATATCTGTTTTTGTAAATAGATTAGACACCGTTGGTTTTCCCGTTTGAATGGTTTTACACTACTAATTTTTTGGGGGCCCTTTATAGCTTGCTGTTCGATTTGAGCCAAGGCTCTGTGTTGAAGACCGTATACGTTGACCTTTAATGGTTTACATTTACAAATTATGACTTGGATGGAGAGTTGTCTCATCGGCACTCATACCACATCTTCTTATATCTATATACAACGTAACCCAGACGTTTCTTAGACTGTTTTCTTTTTTTAATAAATCCGTTGCCGCGCGTTGTGTACTGATTGATAACCCAGTCTGGGAGAACAAGATTTATTTTAGTACCAGTTGTAATTAGGGTTGAGCAAACTTCCAGTAATTGCAAATACTCTTATGTCGGTGCTTTGTGTCTATTGTCTTAATGATAGTTTTTTTGTGTGTCTCGTACCGATCTTTTGAGATAATTGCTGATTTGTGCAGGTTGTTATGTTATCGTACTGTTACACCACTGTCCCAGCTTCGGGATGGGTTGCTCACAAACGTGGTGTTGTACTGTTACACCGCTGTCCCAGATTAGGGGAGTTATTGGGATCCCGCTAACATGTTTAACCCCGCCTCATTCTGTATGTATGTGCTTGTCCCAAGTCAGGAGCCTGTAATTCAGTGGTAGCCGTTTGTTGCTTTTTTAAACATATTTGTGTTTCGTTCATATTTTTGTACATTATTTCGGCCGTTAGTTTTCTCGATTGAATTGTTTTACATTTATTATTTTGGGGCCTTTTATAGCTGACTATGCGGTGTAGGCTTTGCTTATTGTCGAAGGCCGTACGGTGACTTATAACTGTTGATTTTTATGTCATTTGATCTTTTGTAGAGAGTTCTCTCATTTGCAATCATACCACATCTTCGTTTTTATATCCACCCTGTCATTTTTTTATTTGCATGTCCCAGGGATGGAGCCTGTAGTTTAATGGTTATCGTTGGTTCCTGTCTCGACTCATATTTGATATTTTGTAAATGGTTTTGTTATGTAGAATTAGGCTGTTATTTTTTTCGTTTGAATTGTTCACACTTTTCATGTCGGGCCTTTTATAGACGACTTTACAGTATCAGGTTTTTGTCATTGTTGAAGGCCTTACGATTGTCTACAAAAAGCATTTGTCTACATGACGGCAAAAAGCTCTACAGAGCTTATGTTTGTAGTATTTCATGTAACCCGACTTAAAATAAATTTTACTTATCTTATCTTATCTTATCTATAATTGCTTACATTCACTTCATATTTTAACTCCGGTGGATAGTTGCCTTATTAGCAATCATATTCCATCTCTTCATTTTTATATTATATACGTGACTTCTAAACTCGTGTTTTCCTGAACAAGCATGAAATAATTTTCACTGGGCGTTAAAATTAGCAACAAACAATCAATCAATTTTAACTTGTGTTAAAAAAGAGGAAAACCATTTGATATTTATTTATTTGTTGGAGTGGGGGACAGAAGGATTTCATATATGAATATGGTTGCCTGGTAAGAGCTGAAAAATAGGCATGATTAGCGGCAGATTGAAATGAATAATAATGCCCTCTCTTCCCTTCCCCATCCTTCATCTATAAATTTAAACTGACCACCACGGAATAGCCCAATAGTGTTGAAAGTAACGTTAAACACCAATCAATCAAAATCCCTTCCCTAGAATATCAAATAATCGTCCCTTAACTGTTATTGTCCGTGTAGTTCTTATATTTATCCAACTTATCGTCCTACAGGGATGTCCTACTAAGGCTGTCATACCAAAAAAACGTTTATAAAACAGCACACATTCTAATATATCTGCATTCATAAATTTATTAATTTCATTTAGACTAAACGACGCCATGTTTGTTATGTGCCTCTGCCGTCAACCTATCAAAAAAGAAGAGGTGGAAGAGAGCCAGAAGATCTTCCCAATGCAAAAAAAAACAGAAATGGACTTCTTCTGGCTCACTTCCGAAGAACAAAAAAACAAAAAACGCGCCCCATTGATACGTTTTAAAAACGCCTTGCCCCTACCCTTTTTTCCAAATAAATGGCATTAATAAATATATGAACATATATATATAATCATTAAAATTAAAATGCTATTGTATTTTTATAAGACCTACTTTATTACATGACCTGGGACTAATGACGTCTATCTATAAGTCCTAGCATACATTAATTAATATAATATAAATATATTAATTAAGTTTATTTATCCTACATTGAACTTTTGATGTCGTCCCTAATGAGCAAAAAAATAGATAAGGGGCGGGACCAAACCTATAGATAACATAATAAAGAAATGATGAAATATACAGAATACGTTGATTGACTTTTGGTTGCCTTATGTCCAGTGGCAAATATGTCACGCATGTTTAAAACAACTATAATAGAGATCAAAGGATAAAGAATAGAGTGAAATGGTAAAAACTAAAAGATATTGAATTATAGAAACGATCTTTGATCTGAAACCCCTACCCACTGTTAAATGTGTCTAATTATACATTGTGTACGGGTCTAAATATTAGTTAAACGTACAATCATATAATTTGTTGGATACCTAATTATTATATAATGTGTCACAAAATAAACTTGTAAACACCCCTTCCCAATGCAGTATTGAAAAGTAAATTATTTAAAAGTCCTGAAGATAAAATATGTTTTGAAATATGCCCTGCATACTTATTTATGCAAAGACATATAGTAATTATTGAACTACTGTGGGGCTTGAAAAAAAATCTATTTAAGGGATTCGGAGACGAGAACATTAAAAAAAAGCTCATCAACGAATCCTAAATGTAAAATGATTTGCAGCATGAGACATGAGAGCATATATTATAGATAGTATTAAATATGAAGCTCACGCCTCATATAGTGCAGTCCTGTGTCCTAGGACTATTGTTGTAACATGGGTTAGTAACTGGTTCCAATTTATCCTGAATTGTCTTTATTAAAGAATAAGCTCCGGAGTATAACAGCTTATGTCTCTAC